TCAAAAAAGACCCCTTTGAAGGGATTTTCGTAGTAAGAGGACCTCCAAAGAGGCAATCTGACGGATCTTCAATGGTTCTCCGATATTTTTCGTAAAAAGAAGACCTCTCTGAAATGATCATCTGGCCTCTTTGACTGATCTTATGTCTAAAAGAGAATTCTTTAATGGGTCTTCCATATAAAAAATATCTCTTCAAAGGGTCTTCTCTATATAGAACACCACTTCAAAAGGTCCTGTGCTTAAAAAATACCTCTTCGATGTATTTTCCGTATAAAGTAGACCTCTCTGAAAGGATCTTCTGTAAAAAGACCACTTTGAAGAGAAGGAGACATTATTAAGGGGTATTCCTTATAAAGAATGCCTCTTCGAAGTGTCTTCATTATTAAAAAATCTCTTCGAAGGAGATGACAAAAGAAGACCGCTTCGAAGGGTCTTGTGCCTAAAAAAATACCTTTTCGATGGATCTTCTGTCCAAAGAAGACCTCTCTGAAAGGAACTTTTGTCCAAAGAAGACCTCTCAGAAAGGGTGTTCTGTGTAAAATATTTCTCTTTGTAGGTAATTTTAGTTGAAGAATATTATGTCAAGAGGAGACCTTTTTAATCGGTCTTCCTTATAAAAAATACCCATTCGAAGTGTCTTCCTTATAAAAAAATACCTCTTCGAAAGGTCTTCTTTGTGAAGATTACTTCAGGTTGTACATAAAGTCTGCCATTGTGGCGTCTATAAGGGCTTCCTTTTTAGGAAGTCAATAAAGCTATAAGGATATACTTCTGGTCGTATATATAGACTTACTTCATGCCTTCAATAAATACTCCTTCCGTTTGCCTTTAAAGACTGGTTTCAATGAGTCTATAAATACTCCTTAAATAGGGAGTATTTATGACGACTTAACTCGTCTCCCATCAGAAGGCCTCGGGTTTTTAATAAAGATTCCGTTCAGCTTTTCTGTAAAGTCTCCCTTTAGGAAATCAATAAAGCATTCCTGCAGCTCGCTTTAATAAAGGTACTCTTCAGTCAGACTATAAGGATACACTTCTGGTCGTCTATGAAGACTAAGCCGCTGTAAATACTCCCTTCAACTCGTCTCTAAATTTTTATCAAAACGCCCAAGAAAAATAGCTTTCTATATTCCCATCGGATGACTTTAGGTTGGTAATAAAGACTTCCATTATCGCGTCTATAAGGCTTCTCTTCAGGACGTCAATAAAGAATCCCTTCAGATCGCTTCAGTGGGTCTACGGAGACTCCTTTCTAGCTGCCATTAAGACTCGTTTCAGGTCATCCATACATGTTCCCATCAGTTCGTCTATAAAGTCTACCTCCAGTACTTCAATAAAGCTACCCTGCAGCTCTCTATAAAAACTACCTTTCAAGTCGAAGATAAAGAGTTCTTTTAGGATTGATTTGGATGTCCATTAAGACTCTCTTCAGATCGCTTATAAACATTGAATTCAGGGGGTCTACAAAGACTCCTTTCAAGTTGCCTTTAAGACTATCTTCAGGTCATGCATCAGGTCGTCTATAAGGACTGATTTAGTACGGCAATAATGTATCCTTGCAGCTCGTCTATAAAGACTTCATCAGGTGACCTTTTGAGACTACCCTTTGAGACTACCTCTTTAAAGACTCTTTTCAGGTAGAAGATAAAGACTTTCTTTTGACATTGATTTAGGAGTCCATAAAGTCGACTTTCTGGACGTCTGTAAAGAGTCCCTTCTGAACGTCTGCAAATACTCCTTTCTGGTCAAAGATAAAGTCATCTTTTAGGTGTGATTTGGATGTTCTTCAGGTTTCCTTTGGTCGTCCATAAAGACTCCCTTCAGATCTTTCATAAAAATATAATTCAGGAGGTCTACAAAGACACCTTTCAAGTTGCCATTATGACTCCCTTCAGGTCATCCATAAAGACTGTCATCAGCTTGCATAAAAGGCCTCCCGTCAGGAAGACAAAACAAATGCCTATAGCTCGGATATAAAGACTTATTTAGGAGATCTATTCAAACTCCCTTCTGACCGTCTTTAAAAACTCCCTTCAGGTCGAAGATAAAGACTTCCTTTCGCATTGATTTGGGTGTCCATAAAGTCGACCTTCTGGACGTCTGTAAAGAGTCATTTCTGAACGTCTTTAAAGTCTCTTTTCAGGTCGAAGATAAAGACTTCTTTTAGGTTTGCTTCGGGCACCTATAAAATATACCTTAAGGACCTCTCTAAAGACTCCCTTCTGTTCTTAGGCTCCCTACAGCTCGCCTATAGAGGCTCTCTTCAGCTCCCTTTAACTCACCCTGCCCATTGAGGTCCATAGGAGGGAATTTATTTAACGAATTTTTATTCTTCAGGTCTATTGAGGTCCATAGGCGGGGATTTTTTAAAAGAATTTTTATTCACAAGGTCTACTAAGGTCCAAAGGCATGGATATACTTAAATAATTTTTTTCTCAAGGTCCAGAGGTGTAGATTTTTTAAATAATTTTTATTCTCAAGGTCTATTAAGGTCCATAGGCATGGATTTTTTACAGAATTTTTATTCTCCAGGTCTATCGAAGTTCATAGGCGTGGATTTTTTATTCTCAAGGTACAAGGAGTTCCACAGGCGTGGAATTATTTAAAGAATTTGTATTCTCGAGGTCTATTGAGGTCCATAGGCGTTGATTTTTCGTAGAATTTTTATTCTTCAGGTCTATTGAGGTCCATAGGCGTTGATTTTTCATTAAATTTTTGATTCTTCAGGTCTATGGGCGTGGATTTTTACGGAATTTTTATTCTCCAGGTCTATTGAGGTTCATAGGCGCGAAGTTTTCAAAGATTTTTTTTCTGAAGGACTATTGATTTCCATAAGCGTGAATTTATCTAAAGAATTTCTATTCTCCAGGTCTATTGAGGTCCATAGACGTTGATTTATTTGAATAATTTTTATTCTCCTGGTCTATTGAGGTCTATAGGCGTTGATTTTTCATAGAATTTTTATTTTTCAGGTCTATTGAGGTTCATAGGCATTGATTTTTCATAGAATTTTTATTCTTCAGGTCTATAGGCGTGGATTTTTTACAGAATTTTTATTCTCCCGGTCTATTGAGGTCCATAGGGGTGGATTTATTTAAACATTTTTATTCTCGGGGTCTATTGAGTTCCATAGGGGTGTTTTTTTTTTTAAAGAATTTTTATTCTCCAGGTCTATAGAGGTCCATAAGTGTGGATTTTTTACAGAATTTTTATTTTTCAGGTCTATTAAGGTCTATAGGCGTGGATTTATTTAAAGAAATTTCATTCTCAAGGTCCAAGAAGATCCATGGGCGTGAAATTATTTTAAGAATTTGTATTCTTTAGGTCTATTGAGGGCCATAGCCATTGATTTATTAAAAGAATTGTTATTCTCCAGGTCTATAGAAGTCCATAAGTGTAAATTTTTTAAAGAATTTTTATTCTCCAGGTCTATTGAGGTCCCTATGGATGTCAACTCGCCTATATGAGGTCAGCTCGCCTATATAGTCTCCCTTAATCTCGCCTATAGAGGCTCCCTTAAGCTCGCCTATAGAGGCTCCCTTCAGCTCGCCTTTTAGACTATCTCTTCTTCTTGTTTGTACTCTTTTGGACCGGAAAATATTTTTTTAATTACTAATTTATTTTTTTTTTAATTTCATATACTTTCCATGGCTTTTCATATCATTGTCCTCTTTAAAAAATAGAATAAAATATCATTACCTCTTGAGAATCGATCTAAAAAAATTGTACTAATTTCAAATTTATCTTTTTATTATTACAGTTAAATGTCTATAATCATCTCATCCGAACATCATTCATCATTTTGTCACTAAGAAGCGAATACTAACACGCTCACGTCCCATCAAGCTACTAGCTACTCATTAAACGCTTTGCTGCTAACAAATAGCCTCACAGCACTGCTTTATCATTACAAATCTACAACAACAATAACAACAATTAAATCTAGAAAAGAAAAATATCACAGAGCAGACAACCCGTAACGGCTTTAAAATGGGGCCACCTTAAGTCAAAAAGAAGAAGGATTTCCCCCTCATTTCCAAATAGAAAACAAAAACAAATCTGCATTTTTTCTCCAAAAGGAGTTAAGAGGAGAGAAAAAAAAGGGATTTATTTTCTCAAGGAGTAAAACCCAGAGAGAAAGTCTTCTTCACAACCAGTGCCATCATCTAGGTGTTTGTGGACAGCACTTGTCCTGCTTTTTGAATTTGCAAACAAGCAAAAGAAAAGAAAACTGAAGCAGCTCCTTGAAGTGGTAGAAAAAACAATAGCATAGCAGTTGAATTATGGAAATGGAACACAGCCGACTCTAGGCATATTTTGTGCAGGACTGAAGTAGAACAAGAAACTGCAACTTCGTCATCATCAGCATCATCATCCATATCACATGCCCCACTTGCCTTTGGGGGAATGATCTGTTGTTGCCACAATTTGCCACAAGAAAAAAGGTGCTGCCATCATCGAAGTCATTACAAAAAAATTTAAAACGGAGTTATTGTGCGGATTAGCAATAAAAAAATAAATCATTTAAAAACAAACAAGTCAACCTCAATTTAAAGCCAAAGCGGTGCCAAGCCAGAAGGCACCCAAAAAAAATCGAGTAACCTTTTAATACTGCCATATTTTAAAAAATAAAAGAAAGAAAAAAAAACAACAACAAAAATCAGGAAAGGAAAGGAAACAAACCTCCATTTCAGCTCCAGGAATATAAGCCACAATTTATTGGAACCACTTGGAGATCATCTGAAAACCAAAAATCCTCAGAGACTCCAACATTAATCACCCAACATATAATCATCGGCTTCAAAGGAAGAAGACGAGATAGAACCCAAAAAAATCTCATCTTGTCACATAGTCATCACCTGGTCATCGTAATCACCCCACATAACTTCCTTGTGTGTGTGTGTGTCCGTCACATTTCACCAGCTACAACTGCATTTGCTTAGCATCCAACCACCCATCCATCCCTATCTATCTACCTTTCCTCCCCGTATTTATTTATCAAAAAAACCATTCAAAATTCTACCCAATATTTTACCCTTGCCTCCCAAAATGGCAGATTTAATGCGCCTGGGCAACGTGGATGTTGTCATACAAAAGGACAAACTTGGCTCACCGATTGGCGGTTCGGATGATGGTAATTTAGCCGCCTTTGGTGCTGGCATTAATAATTTTGCGGGTAGTGGCGGTGGTGGAGGAGGCGTTGTAGGCGGCGGTGTCGGTTTCGATATGGGTGATTTACAACAGGAATTGGATCAGGATGAATTCGATGGCATGAATTTGATAAATGGTAAGTCTATTTTTGGAAATAATTTCTTTTGTTTTATTTTTTATTAATTTTATAATTTTTCTTATTTATTTAGAATTTTTTGAATATAATTGGAAAGATATTGCAATTATTTGAATTTTGAAACAAATAACAGATCGAAGAAAAAAAATGTGATGTTGCTTCAAGACAGCTCATCTGTAAATACTCACTTCACATCGTCTATAGAAATTCCCTTTCAACTCGTCTCAAAGCCTTATCTCATGCTGCTATAAATATTTCCTGCAGGTCATTCAAAAAGACTGACTTTAGGTGGTCTCCCATAATCGCTTCTATATGGACTCTCTTCAGGACGCCAATAAAGAATCTCAAGTCATTCATAAAGTCTGCCATCAAGTTTTAAGTTTTCCATAAAGACACCCATCATCGCTTCTATTAGAACTCACCTCAGGTCGCCAATAAGGAAACCCTATACGTTGCCTTTAAAGACTTGTTTCAAAGCGGCCACAAAGAATCCTTTCAGATCGCCATAAAGATTTCCTTCAGGTCATCAATAAAGTTTGTCATCAGATGGTCTATATAGACTCCCATCATAACCCTTCAGGTTGGCCATAAAGACATCCATCATCGCTTCTATATGGACTCCTCTCAGGATGCCAATAAGGAATCATTAAAGACACCCATAATCGCCTCTACATGGCCTTCCTTCAGGACGTTAATAAAAAAATTCCAAGTCATTCATTAGGACTGCTTCAGCTGGTCTAAAAAGACGCCCGTCAGAACACTTCTGGTTGTCCATAATTCCCTTTCAACACGCCTCAAAGCCTTATCTCAAGCTGCTATAAATATTTCCTGCAGGTCATTCAAAAAGACTGCCTTTAGCTGGACTCCCATAATCGCCTCTATATGGACTCTCTTCAGGACGTCAATAAAGAATCTCAAGTCATTCATAAAGTCTGCCATCAGCTTGTCTATATTGACTCCCATCAGAACCCTTTAGGTTTTCCATAAAGACACCCATCATCGCTTCTATAAGATCTCCCCTTAGATAGGCAATACGGAATCTCTACACCTCGCCTTTAAAGACGTTTTTCAATGCGGCCACAAAGGCTCCTTAGAAGTCGCCGTAAAGATTTCCTTCAGGTCATCAATGAAGTTCGCCATCAGCTTGTCTATATGGACTCCCCTCAGAACCCTTCATTTTGTCCATAAAGACATCTATCATCGCTTCTATATGGATTCTCCTCAGGATGCCAATAAAGAATCCCTAAAGAATCGCTAAAGACTCACATAATCGCGTCTATCTGGCCTCCCTTCAGGACGTCAATAAAAAAATCCCAAGTCATTCATAAAGACTGCTTTCAGCTGGTCTATAAAGATGTCCTTTAAAGGCTCTTGTCAGAGCTACCTTTTAAGTCGTTATAAAAACTCCCTTCAACTGGTCTCAAAACTACCTTCATTACGCCTCTAAAGACTTCTATTAGAGCGGCCACAAAGACTCCTTTCAGGGTGCCATAAAAGATTTCCTTTAGGTCATCAATAAAGTTTGCCATCAGCTGGTTTATAAAGACCCCCCGCAGAACCCTTCAAGTGGTCGCTAAAGACTCACATAATCGCGTCTATATGGACGCCCTTCAGGACGTCAATAAAAAAAATCCAAGTCATTCATAAAGACTGTCTTCAGCTGGTCTATAAAGACGGCCGTCAGAACAGTTATGGCTGTACATAAAGACTACCATCATCGCCTCTATATGGACTCCCTTCAGAATGTCAATAAAGAATCCATGTAGCTCGCCTTGAATACTACCTTCAATCAACCTATAGTCTCCCTTCTGCTAGTCTATAAAGAACTCCATCAAGTCGTCTATAAAGACTGAATTCAGGCGGTCTACAAAGACTCATTTTAAGTCCCTTCATATCGTCAGCTTGTCAATAAAGATTCCCTTCAGGACATCAATAAAGAATCCCTACGGCTCGTCTACAAAGACTTCTTCAGGCGGTCTAAAAATAATACCTTGTGGACGTCTTTAACTAATCCCTTCAGATCGTTCATAAAGACTTCTATCAGATTTCCTTTGGGTGTCCATAAAATCTCCCTTCAGATCGTTTATAAAAACTTTATTATTTTGAAGTTGTCATTAAGACTCCCTTCAGGTCATCCATAAAGACTCCCTTCAGGACGACAATATCACATCCCAGCTCGTTAAAAAAAACTTCTTCAGGCGGTCTTTAAAGATTCACTTCTGGTTGCTATATAGACTGATTTTCGGGTCGTCAATGACTACCCCTTCATGCCATCTAAAAATACTCCCTTCAGCTCGTCTATAAGCGCTGCCTTCAGGACTTCAAATAAAAAAATCTCTGAAGCTCGTCCATAAAGACTTCTTCTGCAGGCGGTCTATGAAGTCTACATTCTGAACGCCTCCAAAGACTACCTTAAGGTTTTTTATAGAGATTTCATGCTGGTCTTTTATAAAGACTTTCTTTGGGTTGTGCAGATTTCCTTTGGGTGTCTATAAATACCTCCATTCTGCTCGTCTATAAATACCCTCATTCGGCTCGTCTATAAAAAGCTCCATTCAGCTGGCCTATAAAGAGATCCATTGAGCTCACCTATAAAGGCTCCCTTCAGCTCCCTTAAACAGACTATGTTTCCCTCAGGTCGTCTATAATGACAACCTTCAAAGCGACTATAAATAATCTCTTCAGGTTGGTCATAATACCACACTTCGAGACCGTCTATAAAGACTTCAGGTCACCAAAAAATTTTAGATGGAAGCTCGTCAATTACGACATCCTGTTTTGTTTAATCAAGACTTTCAGAGCGGCTATAATAACTATTTTCATGGGGTCTATAAAGACTAAAAAAAGACCCCTTTAGTTTGCTTAAAAATGCTCGTGTAAGCTTGCTTATACCAAATTCCCAATTTTGTGGACTTTCGGCACGTTTTGCATCCAAACTGTCTGTAATTTAGTATTTTAGGTTCTCTTTGGGTAGCAAATCTCCCTACCAAAAATTATCAATATTGGTCCAGTTTATTAGGGTAGCCCCATATAAAGTTACCTCCTGAATTTCCGAATTTGGGAATTTTGAAGCTCGTTTTTCAACCGATTTGGCTGTAAATTGGTATTTTGGGTTCTCTTAGGGTGGAAAGTCTTCATACCAAAAATTATCTATATTGGTCCAATTTTAATGGTAGATCCCATATAACTTTACCTCCAAAATTTCCGATTTTTGGGGATTTTGGACAAGTTTTCATACCGAATTGGTTGTAATTTGATATTTTGGTTTCTCATTGGCTAGCAAATCTCCCTACCAAATATTATTAACATTAATCCAGGTTTTAGGGTAGCTCCCATATAAAAGTACCTTCTAAATTTCCGATTTTGGGGATTTTCGGCTGGTTTTTCAACCGATTTGGTTGTAATTTGATATTTTGGTTTCTCATTGGATGGCAAACCTTTCTACCTAAAACTATTAATATTGGCCCAGTTTTAAGGGTAGTTGTCATAAAACACTACTTTCCAAATTTCGGATTTTGTGGACTATCGGCACGTTTTTCAACCGATTTGGCTGTAATTTCATATTTTGGGTTCTCATTGAGAAACAAATCTCCCTGCAAAAAATTATTAATATTGGTGCAGTTTTTAGGGTAGCTCCCATATAACGTTACCTCCCAAATTTCCGATTTCGGGGATTTTGGGCAGGTATTTTCAACCGATTTGGCTGTAAATTGGTATTTTGGGTTCTCTTAGGGTGGAAAGTCTTCATACCAAAAATTATCTATATTGGTCCAATTTTAATGGTAGATCCCATATAACTTTACCTCCAAAATTTCCGATTTTTGGGGATTTTGGACAAGTTTTCATACCGAATTGGTTGTAATTTGATATTTGGGTTTCTCATTGGGTTGGAAATCTCCGTACCAAATATTATTAATATTGATCCATTTTTTAGGGTAGTCCCCATATAAAAGTATCTCCTAAATTTCCGATTTTGGGGATTTTGGCTATGATTTTTAACCGAATTGGTTGTAATTTGGTATACTGGGTTCTCATTGGGTAGCAAATCTCCGCACCAAAAATTATTAATATTGGTTGAGTTTTTAGGGTAGCTCCCATATAAAAGTACCTCCCAAATTTCCGATTTTGGGGATTTTGGCTACGTTTTTCATCCAAATTGTTTGTAATTTGGTATTCTGGGTTCTCATTGGTTAGGAAATCTCCCTACCAAAAATTATTAATATTGGTCCAGTTTTTAGGGTAGCTCCCTTATAACAGTACCTCCCAAATTTGCGATTTTGGGGATTTTTGGCATGTTTTTTAACCGATTTGGCTGTAATTTGGTATACTGGGTTCTCATTGGGTAGCAAATCTCCGCAGCAAAAATTATTAATATTGGTTGCGTTTTTAGGGTAGCTCCCATATAACGTTACCTCCTAAATTTCCGATTTTGGGGATTTTCGGCTCGTTTTTCAACCGATTTGGCTGTAAATTTGTATTTTGGGTTCTCTTAGGGTGGAAAGTCTTCATACCAAAAAATATGTATATTGGTCCAGTTTTTAGGGTAGCTTTCATATAACGTTACCTCCCAAGATTCCGATTTTGGGGATTTTCGGCACGTTTTTCATTTTTAAATATTTTTTTTAATTTTATTTATTTTCTTTTTAAGTCCTTCCTACCTCTATTGTCTATTATGTTTTCCAAAGTCAATGCTCTCAAGGATTACGATTTGCTCTGTGTGTTCCAGAGCGGAACTAAAACAACAAGAAACTTAGCTATATTGAAATAAAAGCCACTAACCTTAGATGGATGGCAATGATGATGGAGGATGACGATGAGATAATGTACCACAAAAAGAGCCAAAAAACGGAAGTAGGAAACGGAAAATGGCAACTATTTTTGCCCATAGTCTTCTTCTAGCATTTGGGAATATCACCGATTCACATATCGCGCATGAAAGGAGGGTGTCTTTTTTTGTATTCGAAACAAAGGTATTATTCATTCATTCCGCTCTCAACTCT